CTTTTTCAACAAATGCTGTGCGCAACTGGCTACTCAAACGAATTTGCTGGTTTATGCGGCGCATTGATGATCGGATCGGGTATTATTGTGGCCTTTTTAGTTTCTCTAATCGTGGGCAAGACAGGATCTATACTGTACGGAATAAAGGTAATTTTTTAATGGTGTTAACATTTATGTCTATTTATTTACTGTGACTATCCATTTTGGCTTCTTTGACCTGACTTTACTTTGCGTCTCGACATTCACGTCAAATCGTGCGCTGGATCTGGAGATTTAAAGACTCCTGACTTCCTTGTTACTCTTCTCCGAAATTCTGTTTGTGCATAGAGTCAAAATGCAGCGTTGACCTGCTCAAGAAGAATGCTTCTAGAGAATTAGGAGCGATGTAGCAAACAAGTTGATTACCACTATCAAAAAAACGTGAAACCGGACAAAAACGGATAAACGGCCATGCATAAACGAAAAAGAATGAGTATCGGAAGTGACCTTAAGGGGTGCCAAATAAAATCGATCAAACTGCAATAACAGAGTAGCCAGTATAATGCGTGTACTTTTTCTTAGACAGTATTATTAAGCCACCATAGAGCAAAACTAATAGGTTGTTTGTTTTCAACATGAGATATATCGTTGTCTCAGTAGGACATGTTACTGTCAAGTTATTAATTCCATTTTTGCGTTTGTTTTATTGTTTATTGCTTGTCTTGTGGTGCTTAAAAATATTTCTTCTATTTTCTTATTAATTTCTCTAACTCTATGCTAACCTGGAGACCAACTAGCAGTTTACCGTTAACAAAAGGAAATAAAATACATAGGTTCGTCAGAATTGTCGAACTCTATGCATTCGTAGCGACCGTTCCTCGAAGTTACTTATCAGGTTCTTTCCTCTCTTGATAGTAACCTTTAGCCTCTTCATGGAAGAAATCGTTCTCTATGAGCCTACTGAAGTCGCCAATCAGATTTCAATCTACAAAGAGGTCGAGGTTCTAAGCCTAGATGTTTTGTGGACTGTTTTGGAAAGATATAATTGAGATGTCGATGCTAAGATCTCATTTTAGTACTTGGTACCCCAGAGATCCGGTTGTCTTGAAAAGACACTTTCTTCACGGGATTGATGGCCTACCGATGAGGCTAAACTGTAACCAGTAGAATCCTGACTTCGTGAAGTGGCAGATATTATCAGTATGCCTGATAAATGACATAATACCAGTCCAACAAGACCTTATACCCAGAGCATGTGACGATGCAACCGTGTCTCATATCTTTGTAAACTTCGAAGCTGCCGGTTACCAGAAGGCACAGATTGAAAATGTTTCTGACAGTGTAGCTATCGAAAGGAACGTCCAACTGACCATGATATGTCGCAATCGTCTGCTTATGGTCACTTCATATTCGGTCTGTGAAATGTTGCCCGTCTTGTTCAATTACTGCATTATATAGATATTCGGAGGGGCTGTGCTGTCGAATCTGTTCCCTCGAAACCGGTCGGATTAAGTATGCTTACAACCTTACCAAATATAATTTCACCTGTTACCCTGATACTTCAGCTGTTTGCGTTTTAATGATATAAACTTGAGAGGCCGCCAACAGCCGTCTTTTGTACCACCTGATTCTTATTTTGCTTATTGTATGACGCCCTTTTGCTATTATGTATTTATATTTCGGTTGTTTTAGGTGTGTTTTGCCCTGGCAGCCCTTGGTGCTATCGGCTTTTCCGTGACCGTGTATTTTCCTGATTGCGCTGTTCTCATCGGCTTCTTCGTGGCCTGTTTTGGAGGTTTTGGCTTTTCTATCTACGGCCTTTCGCTTGAAATGGCTGCCGAAGCCACCTATCCTGTGCCTGAAATGGTTACTACCGGATTATTGCTCATTCTGAGTCAACTTCTCAGTATTATTTTGATAATGATCATGCAGATTTTCGCGCCTGTCATTCGGGACTCTCCCCTACAAACTTGCGGACCCGATGTTCTTGTGAAGGCAAGTCATTTTAAACTTCAGATGCAGTGATTTTTGATAGTTTACCAAAATGGGGAATAAAACGCTGTCGCCTCATTTTAACCCTTTCCCCTCCCCCAACTCAAAAACTGCCTGACTAGCATATTCGAACGAACATCAGGAGCATGCCAAGCCATTTTGGTTTACCTAAGCTATCATCACGCGATTGATCACGCTCGAAGTGGATCGTCTCTATTTCCGCTTCTGGCGAAATCCCTCTCTGCGTCTTTCCAACGCTGACCTTTTGAGATCGAGAGCTTATCTAAGGGTCAATAAATTCTCTCGCGCACTCACCATGTCACTGTAAGGGCTGTGATGTGTTCTTTTACGTGTGGACTCTCCGCAACCTGGGCAAGCTTGTTCGGGAAATAGATTGGCAGCATTGAAATGGCCTGTTAGGATTTCTAACGTGTTCGTTTTTCATGACGGTAAGTGACGGTTCGACAAAGTCGTACCTTGTCGTCCATTCTGTTCTTCCCTGTCACTGACTTCATTCTCTGAGGGACCCAGGCTTTGGCTGGCTGATCTCAATTGCGCTGATCATATCGACTTGCTAGCCTCAAATATTGCTGATACAAGATCTGGGATGTCATGAATGAATGCGTTTGTGAGGTAAAGCGTGCAGGGATCTACCTAAACGTACCGAGTGACAATTTATATTCCTAATGAACGGCCTCCATTTGGAAGAAAATATTGAAAGTAATAATAATTTGGTTAGAACTGACAATTTTTTAAAGAGAAAAGCTTTACTGCCTAAAAGGGGGATGATCTATTCGAGCAACTTTACTCAATTTTATAGGCACGTAAAGCCACTGCGTCTAAGTAACCACCTTTCTGAGATAGAGTTATCACAACAACGTTTTAAAATAGCATTTCATGCAGTTTACGCATAACGATTTCGCAGGAATTTGTGTATCTTGCAACATGGCTGTTGGTCTACTGTCTTATGGGATTTCAACCTATTTTTCCCGCTTTTGCATTGTTTTGTTTTGTTCCGTTGATTCAGCAGTCGGGAAAAGCAGAGGATTAAAAGTTTTATCTCATGTCGCGAGGATCGTCATTGACTAATAAATTGACTGAAGCACTGAATAGCATCGTTATAATTTTTAGTGTATCAAGTGTATCGTACTATTGCTGCGGTTTTTAGATATATTAGGGCCCCATTTCAAGAAAAGGCGTCCTTTGGGAAAATGAGTCCCAAAAGACGCCTTTCCTTGAAATTACATTTCTTGGGGTGCCTGCCTTCCAGTTTTTACGAAACATTTGAGTCCGTTGAGTTCCAAGGTCTTCTTGAGAGATCAGTGAATGCTCTTCCGTTCTCAGCGTTCTCAGCTGACTGCTCAAAAGGTAAGTTCTATCATCTGTGTCTAATAAAACAGTTTTCCGTAAGTACTGAGTCCTCAAACTTTCATTTTTACACACAGTACGGAAACTTTATCGCTGAAGGAAAGGAACTTAGAGAACTCAGACCTGCAATGGTTTCGTGTTTAATCTATAGAAGACCCTTTCCTCTTATTTAGCTTCTTAAAATGTACACTAGATATGGTTAAGCAAACGTTGGAATTAGTCTTCGTAGTGCCAAAGATCAGAACTCAAAAATGAAACACAGGCATCTCGCTTCAATTATAAACATGTCGGCTGTGCTTTAAGCTTTCTTCGGTAACACCCCGATGACTGTGTTTACAGAACGTCTGACTTTATTGCGTTAAGGCACCACTCATTAGGTCAGTTCACTATTGGAGTTTATTGATGTTTACATGTATGTTGTAAACTATGATGCGGGGGCGGCTCCCACGCGCTCCCTGACCTGTGTATATGCATTCTTCCAACTTACCATCTCCGGTCATTTAGACATGTCTGGTCACCCTTCCGTTTGCACATAATAGCAGGCATTTCTTACGTAAACCTACTGTGGAAACACCCTGTTTACAGGTG